AGAGAAGGGAAAGTAAAGGAGGAAGGAAGATAGGAAGTTTTCATCTAAGAACTAACAGAAAGGATCGATCCTGGCCCCTGTCATCAGCTGAAAATTCCTCAAGTACAATTCCAAACAAGACCCTTCTTGCTCATCAGTCCTCGATAGCTTCCACCACTGAATGGAGCAGACACTGCAGCCCGGCATTCACAGTCCTGCACAAACTAGAATGAATGGACTCTTCCTGCCTCATTTCCTTCCCCTGCACACACCTGAACCCACACAGTGTTTCCAGAGACTCTGCTGAAGCTCATGGCTCCCTACCACTGCCCTCTGTGAATCCGGGTCATGAAGCCATCCTCCAGGTCCTGACACAGTGGGTTTGAATCCTGGCCTCTCTGTCGACTGCCTGTCCCAAGAGTGAAAGAGAAGACACTTGGGGAGCCTTCGGGACAGTGCCCAGCACAGAGCCTTCTCAATCTCAACAGCAGTGCCACTGTGGGCTGGATCCTTTGTGGTGGGGCCATCCTGTCATTGCAGGAAGTGGAGCAGCATCCCTGGCCTCTACCTAGCAGCTGCTGGTAGCAACCACAGGTGTGACAACCTTGTCTCTAAGCAGTGCCAGATGTCCTCTGGGTAAGGTGGCCAGATCCAGCAATATATACTTATACTAAAAATTATTCATTATCTGAAATTCAATTTAATTATGTGACCTGCCTGTATGTCATCTGGTAACCCTATTGAGGGGGGGAAGGGAGGATTAAGAACCTTCATTACGAACCACTGGGTTGATGTGGAATCACCATGGCATCCCAGTACCTTCTTAGAAAGTCCAGCCCACCTCCCCCATCCAATCGCCTTCCAGGACCCTGGAGGCTCAGCTCCCCAAGCAAGCCCAGCTCAGCCCTTGTGTTCACTGCTCCCAGTGATAGTTCTTCCATCAGCTCCAGACTACAGACCTAAAGCAGCTTCCTCTCCAGCACCACTGCATCCTCCAGTCTCCTTCCTGGGGTCTGCCCTCTGGCCAGCAAGGCCCTGCCTGCTCTCCTCCAATTAAGTGGCCTCCTAATCCCAGCCTGAAGGCAGGAAAACAAGGCAGTTAGTCACTTTGCTTCCTTTATCAACTCTGAGTCACATGGCTAGCTCCTTTAATGGCAGTTGCCATGGCAACAGGAAGCCAGTGCCTGCTCTCTCTGGAAAACAAAACAAAATTAAGTGGTGGAGGTGGGGAGGGAAAGGAGCCAGGACAGAGCTGGTTGGGTTTAACCGGAGGAAATCATGCTGGGGCCACCCTGTTTCCAGCTCTCCCTTGGTGGCCCTGGGGAGATGGGAAAAAATAAGATGCCTGCCCTGGTAAAGCTCAGGCTAATGCGGTGGGTGTTTTCACATTGTTTATCCTGATGCTTGAGTAATTTTCAGCTCCATTATGAATAAACGGAAACCCAGACATTTGTGAATATAAAGAGGGATGCTCATCTGAGATTGTGCAATTTACAAGCGATCAACGTCAGCTTCTCCCTCTTCTTCCCTTATCCCCGAAGTTCTCCCCACTCCTTCCCTCGTGCTTTTGTGACAGGACCAAGGGCTCTGGCCACACTGTTCTCCTTTCTCTTGGAACTCCCCCTTTCCCTGAGTCCTCCCGTTACTCATGTTCACAGTGCTCCCTCCAGCCACAGATGCATTCCCTCTGCCAGGAGGGGTTTTCTTCCGTCTCTTCTCACCTCCCACCTTCACCTGAAAGGCCTACTCATTACCCTGCCAGGGAGCTTAGTTGGTTTGAGTGTCAGCCCCATACGCCAACGGTTGCAGGTTCAATCGCCAGTCAGGACACATACAAGAAGCAATCAATGAAGGCATACTAGTAAGTAAATGGAACAAATAGATGTTTCTTCCTCTCATTCTCTCCCTTTCTCTCTCTCAAAAAAAAAAAAAAAATCCATAAAAATAAATTTACATATCCTTCACATACCTTCTTAAACAGAGGTAATTTAAGATATGTATGCATGCAGTTACTTCTCTGTTACGTTTCTTGTGCTGCAAAGTACCTCTTCTTCGGACCATGGTGCACAGCTTATAATTATCTTTTTAATTACACTCAGAATGTCTGCTGGGGTCTGTCTCCTGTACTAGAAAGTCAGCCCCAAGAGCTTCCAAGGAATGATTAGCCTGGCAGGACCTATCGTGTTCAATGCCACATCCTCAGAGTCCCTCCCTGCCTCTGGCACACAGGCGCCCCTCAGTAGATAAGGGCGCCGGCATTTGAACCCAGCTCTGGTGATGGATCCCAACCTCCTCCTTGGCCTGCCTCCACAGTGGCTCCCTGAGTCAGCACTGGACAGAGCTTTTGGCCCCACAACCCTTGCTGGCCTTTGTTGCTTCAGTGGCTCAGGCAAAGCTTGCAGACCAGCCGGGCCTACCTACAGACTCTGATTATGAAGCCGCCTCTCCAACAGGAAGGATGTGGGGAGCCTCCGGGCAGACCCGGAGAACAGGGATGTGGCTCCTCTGAACTCAGACGGTGAGGAGAAGCAACAGCTGACCCGACCCCCAGATTTTTAGGCAGCCCCTGGAGACTGGCGCTCTGGTATTAGGGGGACATGCAAGGAAAGGAGAGGGGTCTGCTTTGGGGGGAACAGACCTGTAGGGGCACCCATGCTAAACAGAGGGGCTTGCAGAACAGAAGACTGGAACTTGCTTCTCTTCACTCAGCTGTACCCTTGAAACATCACTAACTCCTTCTGGGCCAGTCTCCTCACTGCACAGTGGAAACTACGCCACACACATGCTGAAATAATGGCGCTGTGTAGCTGTGGAAGGCATGTTTGTGACACGAGGGTCAAGAGCCTGGCTCAGACAGACCTGGGGGTAAGTCCTCAACTCCATCCCTTTTTAGCCGTGTGCTCTGAGAACTCACCCTCCCTCTCCACGCCTGTGTCCTTGTCCGTAAGCTGGGACAACCTCACTCACCTCACAGCCACTGTGCACACAGAGTGAATACGAGCTCTGATCACTAAGAGGATGTGCCCCAAGAAATGCAGAATTCAGAAACAGCCACCAACTGTGACTGAGAGCTCCTGCCTTCTGATTGCAGATCCAGGGTCAATAGGTACTCAGGCCCTTTGTCCAAACTTACTCGGTTCTGCCCCTGCCCCTCTCAGGTCCAAGCAGGACGCCAGGAGGTTCCTCTGACCAGGAGATGATCCTGGCTGGGAGCCAGGCAGAAAACTCATTCCGCACCCCAAACCCAGCCTCTCCCAGGAGAGAGGATGCATGCTCAGACCACTGGCCGCCAGGGACAATGCTCCCCTCAGGTTGGCCAATAGCCCAAACTAGACTGGCATGATGGGATGTCCAAGGGCAATGGACCAATGCTCCCTTCTCCAGATGTGGAAACTGAGTCCTTGAGAGGGAAGAGGACTTGTCAAGGGCACTAAGGGAGTTGGTGGCAGGGCTGAGTCCAGGGCCTCAACTGCAGCCCCGACCAGAGGCAGAAAGCACTGCCTTCCCCAGGCGCCTTGCTGACATGCTCATCTGCCTGCAGCCGCCTCCCAATGGAACCAGCCAGCCATTTCCTTAAACACACAGCCATTCCAGGTGAACTCATCTGGCTTGGTTAAACAATGAACAATATTGGGGGGTGGGGGGTATTTATCCACACCCTCCCATGAAATAGTCATCATAACGGGTGGGTCTGTCGGTTTGGTTGGAAAGCGGTTCTAGATAGAGCTTTCTTCAGGTCCCCACAGGGGTCTCTACGAGGGCTGAGCTGAAAAGTTCTGGGCCTTTCTGAGGGATTCCTATGTGTCTGCTTATTCAGAGGCCATGATATGCAACCTGGGGCTGCTTCTTGAAACAACATGGGCACACATACACACACACACACACACCGATGCTCCGGAGGAGGGAGGGGCAGCAACAGGTTGAAGCCTGGAGGCTGCCAGTGCTGGCTGGCTGCCATCAAACGGGGAGGGGCTTCTTGGTGCTCAATGAGGACACCAGATGTGACACCCCAAACACACAGAGACAGAGCCAGCCACCAAGGTCTACGGGCTGAGGACTCAACATACACCAGTGATGCCGGAGCAACAGCAATGAGGTCCCAGGCTGAGTATGTGAGTGACATGAGGAGGGTGATACATCCAGTCACAGTCTCACAGTGACTCATGCATCACACATCACACACACGTGGGTACACACACGTATATACATACATAGTCACAGCCTCATTCATACAGTTGCCTGCATCACACAGATACATAGCATACTAAAAATACAAACACCACAGACATACAGATACATGTACACACAACACACAGATATTCTCAGATACAACAGGCACATGTCCTTACCCACACAGGCACATAGTCCTCGCAGTCCAGGGAGAGAGGGAGAGGGCCAGAGGGGCGGCTCACCCTCCTTCTTGGGTGGGGGGTTTGAGAGGCCCTACCAGGGGCATGTGGGCACATGCCCACAAATGAAGAGCCCCACCAACCAGAGACTTGCAGGGAGGGAGTCCTCTGGCTCTGGCTCCTGGGGTGGCCCAAGGACTGAGAATGCGGGGGGGGGGGGGGGGGGCAGGGGATGTGCGGGGAGCTTTATTCCCCACAGGGTTATCTTCCCCTTTCCTAAAGTCTGCTCCCCATCCAGACCTCCCATGCCCTATGGGCCCCGCAGCTGCTTGTCTCCTTGTAGTGAGACCCACCCACTGGCTCTCCCACGAGGGGGGTTCTACCCAGACAAATGCGGGAGTGCCCCACAGTGGGATGCCCTCCGGCTGCACTCACCCCTGCACGTAGCAGAAAAACACCCAGAGCCCCACCCCCATACCTGAAGCCCCACCCCCGGGTTCAGCAGCCTCCAGTGCCCAGGGAGGTGAAGTACCCTCCCAGGTGAGCCCACAGCCAAGGTGGCCGCCCCCTCCTGCCAGTGGCAACCCCACCTTTGAGACTCTTTTCTGGGAAGGGGGGCTGCGACTGCCCCCTCCCTCAGGGGGCGCCCCCCTCCCCCATCTCATCACCTACCTCCTTCTTGACCGTGCGCAGCAGCCTCTGCCGGGTCTCCGCCCCTGTGGACAAGACAGCGGGTCAGCAGGAAGCTGGGGCCGGGGCCTGGGGCTGCCCTCCCGCCATCCCCGCGCCCCACACCCCGCGCCCCTCACCCGCAGGGCCCGAAGCCATGGCTGGGCGACTGGGCTACGTTCCGAGTCCGGGCGCCCGCAGTGGCGGCGGCTCCTGGGCGCTGGGCTCCCGAGCTGCGGCTGCGTTGGGGCGGGACCAGGCGCCCCAAGACGTCAGGACCCGTCAAGCGCGGCCCCGCCCCCCGGAAACACACTGCCTGGCCCCCTGGCTCCCGGTGCGAAGATCCTCCCTGCCAGATGCACCTCCTCACTCCTGCACCTCCTCACTCCTGCACCTCCCCACTCCTGCACCTCCCCACTCCTGCACCTCCCCACTCCTGCACCTCCCCACTCCTGCACCTCCCCACTCCTGCACCTCCCCACTCCTGCACCTCCCCACTCCTGCACCTCCTCACTCCTGCACCTCCCCACTCCTGCACCTCCTCACTCCTGCACCTCCCCACTCCTGCACCTCCCCACTCCTGCACCTCCTCACTCCTGCACCCCCCAGCGAGCCCCCGCCTTCCCGCCCACGCCAGTGCCCCCCTTTTGTGGGGCAGGGAGGACAGCACCTTTGTTCAATGTCTGCTGGGTGCCAGGCTCTAGAGAGTGGCCAGAGATGGTGGGGCACTCTCTCTGAACCTCAGTCTTCTCATCTTTAAAACAGGTATAAAGTGATTACCTCATGGGAATGATATGAGGCTTAAATGAGGAATGCAAACCACTTCATACAGACCCAGGAGGAAAAGTCCAGCACCTATAAAATGTTCCCGCAGCTGCTGTTTGCACCAGCATTGTCATTATTAATATTATTGCAATATTATTACTGACATTGTTACAGGACATACTGGCCCTCCGTCCAGGAGAGGCCAGGCCTTAAGTGGCCCACTCCCCCCTCCACATGCAGGTCACCGGGAGAGTGGGGTCCTCCCAGGAGCCGGTCCCCAATAGGGCGCCGCTGTTTGCCAGGATCTCCGCATTGCGCAGGCTATGGGCTCTGTGGGACCAAGGCTGGTTCCACCAAGTTTCAGACTGCATCCTCCCAGCATGCAACTCAACTCAACAGATATTCATTGTGCCAGGACACCGTGCTGCGGGCGCTGACGTGAACAAGACAGCTTTGCCCCGTGGAGCTTAGGAGGTAGACAACAAAACCAGTAAGTAAATGACACAGTATGCTGGTGATTCTGGAGAAGAATGAACTAGACCGGGGAGACAGGGCTGGCCCAGAGGGGTGGGGTTTGTGTTTTGTGGTAGGGTGGCTGAGAGAGGCCCCAATGAGGAGGTGACATTTGGGCAGAGAGGAACAACCCCCACTCCAAAGTTTTCTCCTCTGATCCTCTCCTCTGACTTCTCCAACCCCCACTCCAAAGTTTTCTCCTCTGATCCTCTTCTCTTCTCTCACACCCTCTCTCCTGGGCTACCCTCCACCGGACAAACCAGAATCAAACAAACCAGAACACACAATAGGCACGGCCACTACCCAGAAGGCACCCTGGGCCGTTTCTACAGCTAAACCTAAGCAGTAACCTGGACTCTTCCAGGCATCTTCTTTGGAATCACTTACGAGCGCAAGGATTTTCCAGGAAAACCCTAGCGAAGCCCTGCAACTTGGAGGAACTAAATTAATGTCTAAATTCAATACAACCCCAAATTAATGGACAACAGAATTTGTTGTAGCCTGGAACTCAATGCAGTGATCCTAAAGTTCATTTGGAAAAGCAGCCGGGAATTTTCCAGTGCTTAGCAGATTTAGTTTTTTCCTAGGCCTTAGAATTTTTTTTCAAGATGTAGCAAATGGAACATTGCTGTTCCCGGAGCACCATGGACAGTGCAGAATTGCCTTTAGAATTAGAGCTGAGGGTGCATGCTGGTTTCTATGAGCTCATATTGCCATTTCAAAGCAGCGGGTAAGGTCAGGATTGCTCAAGAAAAAGTGTCAGATAACGATCTCTCTCTTAATTAAAGTGGGTATTCACTGTGTGCAGCAAAGATTTAAATGTCAAACAAGGCAATTATAAAAATATTAGAAGAAAGAACTTGTGATTTTAAAAAAATTTAAGTGCAAGGCCGAAGGAACCCGATGAGCTTGGACACACATATGCACTCTTTCCTCTCCCCTCCTATTCCAAGTGTCCCTGCATCTCACCATATCCGTCTTCTTCTCTGTAAACAGTCAACAAATAACTGATGCGACAAATATCTTTTTTTTTTTTTAAATAAATGACCCAAAATATTTGAAAGCTTACAAATCACTGTAAATCCACTTGCACAAATCTGCCTAGAGGATTACAGAGGAGCCTTGGTTTGAATCTAAGGACAGTTACAGCAGCTAAAATTTAGCCATCTTGGCAATAGCAGGGATTTGGGTGAAGTATTAAGTGGTAAGGGCATATGTTTCTGGATTTTCAAGTGTATGTCAGTCATTTAGTAAAATCACCTGGCAGGTTAATCTGAGGATGGTTGATGGTTGAGACAAAGTGGGGGGGTAAGGGGGACGTCAGGAATCAGGGGCCTAGCTGGTGTGGCTCATTTGGGTGCGGCATCCTCCTGTACACCAGGAGGTAGCAGGTTTGATTCTTGTCCAGGCACATGCATCTCCAGGAGGGGTACGTGTGGGAGACAGTCGATTGATGTTTCGCTCCCACCTCGATGTTTTTCTCTTCTCTCTACTCTCTCTTTTCCTCTCTCTCTCTCTCTCAAAAAAAAAAAAAAAAAAATCAGCCAGAGAGCCCTACTCCCATTCTACTGAGACTCGGTGGGTCTGAGTCCTTGCCAGGTGCAGCTCAACATCAGCCTAATTGGGTCCAGGAGGGACATGGTGCCGGAAGAGGCGGGGCCTGCAGGGTTGAAACTGGAATGGGCACAGCACCTACCCTTCGTTGGAGTACTTGAACAGCCGGAGTTGGACAGAGGTTTCAATATGGCTTAAACTTGTTATGTCTGCCGTGTGTATGCATTTCTGTGTTCTCGTATCCTGTATCCGCTTGGTATTCACGTAGCAGAACCCACAGTTGTGCTGAGGGGACTTGCTTTAATGACCTCCAGTGGGTCCCCTCCTGATTTGGCACTCACACGACACTATCCAGGTTCATTCATTTCCTCTGAATCTCATGCCCCTCTCCTTCTTGTCTTTACTCAAGCCTCAACCTTCCACCCTCCTCCTCCATCCTAATGAGACAAATAGGACATCAGAACAAAACTTCAACATCTTCCCTACCACATCTCCCTCCCTGACACCTTAAGGGACTAGCTCTGCTTCTACCTGAAGAAAATATTTGCACTTATTCCCAGGTATCTCTGGCCAGATCCTTTCCTGCAGGACCTAATATCCTATGGATGTCTCGCACTTCTGACTTGCCCTCCTACTCTTCATTTGAAGAAGTCCCATTTTTCCAGTTGCCCAGGCAAATGTCTTTTTATTCATCCCAGTCTCCTCCTTTTACCTCAAACCCTTCACAGAAACAACCAGGAGATACTGTTGCCTCTGCCTTTCCACACTAGCCAGTATCTGACAAATTCTCATCACCTTTTACTACTTCTGGTCCAAACCACCAGCTCCCCCTGCTGGACACTGCAAGTGGTCACCTTAATGGTCTGGCTTTTGCTGGGGTCTTCCCCTCAAACTGTTCTCAACACATAACCAGGTAAACTGGTTCATGTGGCTCTTCTTCCCACCACCCCATGAGGGTTTCCGCTTTCGCGTTCCGAGAAAATTCCTTCAGATGCCCTCCCCACACCTACTCCCTCTCTGATTTCTCCTGCTTCTCTTCCCCTCAGTCTGCTTTGCTCCAGCTGCCCTGGCCACCTCATTCTTCCTTGGACACCTCGACCTGAAGAATTTGCTATCTTTCCTCCACCTACAGCCCATGTGACCTCGTTAACCTTCAAGTCTTTGAGTCTCACCAAGGCTCCTTTTGGTTCTCACCTGTCCCCTATTAATGAATGCAATCAGCCCCTTTTACACCCCACCTTCCCAGTAACTCCCAATGTCCCTTATTTTGCAATTTCCCCCCCAGCATTTCCCTAGCAATGACCACACTGTGGCTAGATACATTATTTGTTGTTTTTATTTTATGTCACTGGAAAGTGAGATTTTCAAGGGAAGGTCCTTTGTTTTAGACCCCGGCAGTGTCTGGCATAAAATAACGTTTAGATGATGAATAAACATAGAGATAACATTACTCTTTATTTCTGCTTCCAAAAACATGCAGACCCAGCCACCTGGTCAAATCCAGCCTAAACTCCAGCCACTGCAAGAGAAAAGGCCAGTGGCTGAGTCTGAACAACCTGGAGGAGCACGGGGAGCACCTCAGTCTCCAGGTAAAAAGAGGGAAGAAGACGGATATGGTGAGGGGCAGGGGTTGCTTGATACGGGAGGAGATAGATAAGAGTGTATACGTGTTTTCCAAGGTCACCAAATTATATACATTAATTATGTACACATTTTTTGCACACAGTTGTACCACAATAAAGCTGGGATGTGCAGAAAAGATACAAGGTAGAGAGTCTCTTCAGTTTCGCAGCTTGGACTTTACCCCTAAGAGCAAATTGTGGAATGGTGGGAATTGAAGTCCAGGTGGAAGGCGCTGAAAAAAAAAAGTAGCAATATTTGCTACAAAAAAGGAGAAGGGAAATGGTATATTAGATGGAGGAGGATTTTAAAAAATTAGAGAATAGCATGTATTTATCTTGGTGGAAATCACCCAATAGAGAGGGAGAAATATAACACCGAATGTACAAGAAAGAACAAAAATCCCTGAAGTTGAGGTCAGAATCTATAGCTCAAGTAGAAGGGTTGGCTTTCCTTCTGAGCATTGCTAAAAATTATTATCAGGTTAGTGCCACTAAAAGTCAGAAGAGCTGACCTGCAATTCCCTGCCTGCTGCTGGCCTCCAGACTCTCCTGATCCAGGGAAAGCAGCGGGTGTGCCCTCTCTGTTCTCGGGTACATGTTTCAGACTGACACCCTTTCTACCTTAAATATTTGGTAGAAGTCAGAGGACGGGGACATTGTCTCACCCCCCTGCGAGGGACACCGCCACATGTGAGTCACCTTCCT